CAGCTCTAAAAAACTAATGAAGCTGATCAAGCTGTTCCAATTTTATCAAAATCTTTAGTTATTGGTTTGAAAACCATTACATGTTTATTCATATGTAAAAGAACCACAACACTCAGTAATAAAAGGTAAAACTGTCAGTCTACCCCAAATATTTATTGAGCGTATATCATTTTCTCTCTTCTGTACCAAACACATATTTTAAATGGGTATTTTTCTGTTGTGAGGAAATTGTTCATTTTGGGAGAAGTATATTTCAGAATTTTTAATCCATAATTTGGTGCTCAGGAAACTTACATGAATGTGATAAATGTGTTCTGATAAGTTAAAGTTGTTAATGAGCTAAATCCGGAAGCAAATTGTTCCTTTAGGAAATCAGAGGACATTCATTTAGCAGAAAGTGAACACATTTTAACTGTACTGATGTATTTATGTGATTAAATAATTAATAACAAATTTCTGTTATGAATTTTTTAAAATTTTCAGTTTTCTTCCTATAGAGAGAAGTTTTTAAGTAAATGGCTAGTGTCCTATTTTTCATGATGTTCCATGTATGGGAAGGAGGGAAAGCCTGGTCAAGAGACTCAGAGAGAATAAATTTAGAGTAACTGGAAAGTTGAATCCTGGTTTTTAAGATAGTTAAATAAAAGAGAAATAATATAGAATTTCTTTCTTTGAAAATATTTATGTAATTTAATTCAATAATACTTATTTAGCACATACTGTATACCATGAAGTGTGCTAGGGACAACAGAAACTAATGTATACAAGACCTACTCCACTGTCCGAGAAATCACATTTTAATAGGACAGACAGGAATGTGAGCAAGAAATAAAAATGCAATGTAATAAGTGCTATGATGAAAATTTTCATGAAGTGTTCTAGAAATATAATGAATGGTTCACTCTAACTAGGCATGTTTGAGAAAATCTACACGGAAGCAGTAACTTTGAGGGAAACAATGGAGGACTAATGGAAGTTATTGGTCAGACACCATAGAGAAGGCCTGCCACACAGAAGAGAAAGGAGTGGAGTCTGAGAAGTCAGAGAAGACGATGTTTCTAGTCTGGTACTGACTGGGCAGTGATCTTTTCAACAAAGAAAAAATACAGCCATCATTTATTTAGCACCTCCTAGTTGCCAGACTTTGTGCTATGAATAGTAGTATGTAATGAGATACTGTAACTGAGTCTACCAAGTTTTTAAATATCATTGGTGGCTGCAATTTGTATGGAAAAAGGAGATACAACTGCCAACTATTGTTTTTGTTTCTATATAAGTGAAGATTCAGATTCAGCTTTTAAGGCAAATTGTTCTTTTATTTGGGAAAGCAATACAATGGGCTTTTTCATTTTGCAAGTAGAACCAGTGGGATGGAGATGGAGAATTTTGAGATGCTGAGGGTGTAAGCTATTTTATATGATATGAAAACATTGTTTTCACTGAAATTTCCTGCTATATATCCTTTTTTTGTCTTTTCTTTTTTTGAGATAGGGTCCTGCTTTGTTGTCCAGGCTGAGTGCTGGAGTGCAGTGCCAGGATCACAGCTCACTGAAGCCTCAAACTCATGGGTTCAAGTGATTCTCCTGCCTTATCCCCCACAGTAGCTGGGACTACAGGCACATACCACCATGTCCAATTAATGTTTTTATCAAATTTTTTTCTAAAGACAGGGTCTTTCTTTGTTGCTCCAGCTGGTCTTGAGCTCCTAGGCTCAAGAGATCCTCCTGTAATCCCAGCTTCCCAAAGTGCTGGGATTACAGGCATGAGCCACCACACTTGGCAACCAGAGATTCTTGTCACAACTAGGAAGCTGGCCTTAGAGAGCATGGAAGAAAATCTGGGTCACCTTCTCTTTATAGTGGGAAATGTTGGAGGACTCTCAATGCTGAATGGGAGGGAGGTGTAAAGACAGCTCTTTTGGGTGAAGGTGGGCACTAGCACTGTTGCAATGGCAGGCTAAGTATAACAACAGACAGAAGGAGACTCTTTGGTACAAGAAATAGTCTATACTCAAGGAACTATCATGCTTGGTACCTGGTTTTAAAGTGCTTTCTATGTTGTAAGCCCCTTTGGCTGTCATCAAGCTTTCGGTAAAATTTGCTTAAACACTGAAGTCGTTCTTCTTGTATTAGTTTGCCAGGGCTGTCATAACAAAGTACCACAAACTGGGTGTCTTAAATAAAAAACAGATTGCCTCACAGTTGCAGAGGCTAGAGGTCTAAAATTAAGATGTCAGCAGTACCGGATCCTTCAGAAGACTGTAAGGGAAAAATGTGTCCTACGTCTCTCTTGTTGATTTGTAGATGGCCATCTTTTCCCTGTGTCTCTTCATATCATCTTCCCTCCATGTGTATCTCCGTCTAAATTTTCCTTTTTAGATGACACCAGTCATGTTGGATTAGAGCCCTGCCTAATGACCTCCCTTTCATTACTCTGTAAAAATCCTGGCTCCAAATAAGGCAACATTCTGAGTTACTGGTTAGAACTTCACAATATGAATTTGGGTAGGGGGATACAATTCAACCCATAACAGTTGTTCTTGGAAGATTTAAGAGAGAAGACTGTTTCTACACTGTGGGAGTAGTTGTATGAGAAGTGTGGCCCTAGTGTGGAGATGCTGATAACAAGGCCAAACAGTTCAGAGAAGTCTACACGATGGCAGCTTGGAAAGATTTTTGGACTGTGAAACATTCCTCTAAGGATTCCTAAAAATGCTGACAAAGAAAATTCTAGTGAAAGCCTGTATTTCTTCCTGTCAGTTGAGGTTGGGGCTTATCCATTATTATTTAGATGGAAAAATCTGGCAATAAATATCAATATCCACATTTTATATTGATAAAACCACAACTCAAAATAGCCAAGTAACTCTCCTGAGACCCCACTAGTGGTACATGTCAAACTCAGTATTTCTTTTTTGTCTACAAGACAGTGATTACTGGTACATTTCCAAACTCAGTATTTCTTTTTTGTCTATAAGACAGTGATTATTTCAAAGCTGAGAGAAGTCAATTTGAAAATAAACAATTTAATTTCAAAAAATATTTCAGTTATTAGAAGGTAAACCATCTGTCATATATACCATTATACCCTGATGTTTGGAACAGTGGGTGCTCAAAAATATATATATTCTTTGAAAAAAAGAATAATATGAGGTAGAGATATTCAAATGGCAGGGAAGTAAAACAGATGTTGGGGTTAGAGATTCAGATTTTAAAAACAAGAATAACGAGATAAATAACGTTTCTCAGAGAGACTAAGAAGAAAATTCTGAAGATGAAACTCTGTTAAGCATTTTTATTTGAGAACAGAAATAAAAGTAAGCCAAGAAGCAGGGAAAATTTCCAGAAAGAGAGAAAGAAGTCAGTAGTGTCCTGGGGACTAAAGGAAGAAAGCTTTTCAAGAAAAAAGGGATGGTTAATATTACTTTGATCAAGATCCCAGAGTTAGGATGAAAGAAGTAGAGGATACTTCTTTCTGCACAATATGAAAGAAGGTAAAGAGAAGATTAGTGAAGATTTACAAAAATTTTGAGTGATCTATATAAATAGGAGAAAGAGCTTGCCTGATGATAGGTTTTCTTTAAGATATAGGAGATTGACACACATGTTGGAAGTAAGAGAAATTGACCTAGAGTAGTAAGTAAAGGAAAGAGTTAATGTCTTGGTGCGGTGTGGGTAGGAATAAAGAAAGTTCTCAAGAGTAAGCAAGGAGTCCTGAGTTCTAGTCTCGGTGAGGCCAGAAGTGACTCCTTTCCAGGTTTCTACTCCAACAGAATCAGTAGTTACTGTAGTTGAAGAACAAGAGTGGCTTTCTATTTTTTTTTTTTTTTTTTTTTGAGACTGGGTCTCACTCTCTTGCCAGGCTGGAGTGCAGTGGCACAATCTCGGCTCGCTGCAAACCTCTGCCTCCCGGGTTCAACTGATTATCCTGCCTCAGCTTCCCAAGTAGCTAGGATTAGAGGCACCTGCTACCATACCCAGCTAATTTTTGTATTTTTAGTAAAGATGGAATTTCACCACATTGGCCAGGCTGGTCTTGAACTGCTGACCTCAGGTGATCCACCTGCCTCAGCCTCCCAAAGTGCTGGGATTACAGTCATGAAGCACCATGCCTGGCCACGAGTGGCTTTTGAGTGGACTCAGAATTGAGGAGAGTTGAGAAGAGAATTAGAAAAGGGACAATGACAAGGAGACAAGAACATTAAAAATGTTAATGAGACTACGGTTGAAATAACTAATGACATAAATAGCTAGATCCTGACTAAGTGAAAAAGGAAGTAAAAACCAAGAGGTTTAAGAGATCAATGGCCAGAAACAGAGGAGCACAAAATAAGCAGGGGCCTGATGAGTTTGAAGAGAATTTTAGAAATAAAACAACAGTATGTAATCAATTGGACATATATATCTTTTCAAAAGTTCGGGTACAGTGTGAATTGAGTCATTTGGACACACCTTTTTCTTTGAAGTTTCTCCTGTCCCTTAGAAGCATGATGTAAAAAATTAGTTCATAATTATTGCTTCTTGAGATAACCCTTTGCGGTTTCTATTTTGTACTACCTATCTAAAATTGACTGTAGGAATCTGTTTATAATTCAATGATTGTTAGAGCACTATCTGTTAAAGTGATATAACATATCTTTCAATCGTATAAAACATACCATTAAAGTATTGTTTTCTAAATTCCAATCAGGAAAAAAATGGAGAAAGATAAATTAGCATGATAAAAACACAATAATTCCTTCTAATCCCAGCATTCTAATTTTAAGACATATACTTATTCTTTTTAAAGAAAACTAAGCATTGAAATTCAGTTCTCCTCACGGTGAAGCAAAGCTAGCACAGGTACCCTGCCTTAGTGTCCAAAAGTAGAGCAAAATTTCCAAATGCATTTGTATTTCCATTTGTGTCAATAGACTTTTTAAATATTTGTTACCTTTCAGCTGGCTGTTCAAATTTCTACATCAGTGGAAACGTAAGAGCTAGTATAATAAAGTTACCAACCTAGGGAGGCTTATTTCCACTTCCTCTTCTTGCATCTCAGAAAGCCATTTTAGAATTTGTTGAGCAGTAATCAGTTTTTCTACTTCTTCTATATTCATACCTTCTGCAGGAAGTATGATAATTAAACTAAATTCATCACCTTTATAAGGCAATTCTAAAACTTGGTAGTTCATGGAAGATTCAGAAAAATAACCTGGAATAGACGAAATAAAATATCAAATATACTTGGCAATTCCCAAGACTATGCTTAGGAACTGTGGTTTCTCATATTACCATATTTTGTTCTCAGAAGAGCCTTCATCATTGGAATTCTAACAGTTGAACCATTTTTCTTAGTAAAATTTATCAGCTGTGTGTCCTCTTTTCTGAATTTCTGTTTCCAATCTCCTTTGAAATAAATAGCATTCACCAGGACAAGCCGAGTCAGAGGGCCAAATTCTTCCCCTGAAAACATGTCTTTAATTTTTCCTAGGAAGGGGGTGGAGGAGGAGGTAAGAAGAAATGTGCAATAGTGATTCAGTGGAATTGCTTTGAATAGAATTAAAGCAAAAATGTCTTTTGCAGATCAGTTTTGGATAGGGCATGTTATCATCTAAATATGGTAATTTTGAGACTAAAAGGGATTGCTATTAAATATTTCACCAAGTAACAGGTACGAATGGAATTTCACTAGGAAATTAGAAATATGAGACTGTTTTAGGCAAATTTGGATATACCTAGACTCTCTTCAGTAAGATCATTTGTATCCATTGTATGTCAGACATAAAGAATAAAAATATTTCTTCTTCCATATTTACTGGCATTATTCCATCTATTTCAAGGTCTTCTAACATGTCAATCACCATTAGTAAGTTAATGGTACACTCAAACTTGCCAATCTGACAGCTGCGTTGACTGACTATTGGAAATGTAAAAGAATGGAGGTTACTAGTATAATTCCTTTTCTCCAAATAACGGGTCTCCTATTTCTATGTCCAGTGAGCTGTTCCAAATTATGAGAAATAGGCATGACTGGGTGTCATGGAGCTGTCTAGTGATACCCTCATTTCCTATACCTGTGAACATGGCTCACCACACCTATTTCACATTTTCAACTTATGTTTCCCTATATAAGGCTTCTTATAAAGAGTATAGCAGTGTGTTATAACATAACATTTTTAGCTGATTAAATAAATTACTATTAATTGAGGGCTTGGTATATGCTTAACACTGCACATATGTTATTTACATTATTATTAAAACTCCAAATAATGCAGAAATGTTTTAATAATATCCTCATTTTAAATGGAGCATAGCTTATAACTTTCCAAGGTTTCAACTCAGACTTGTATGAATTTAAATTTATTATATCCCTCTGTAGTCAACTATGAAATTTTTGCTAGCTTGCATTTAAAGTTTAGACTACCATATTTATGATAGAACTATTAACATTTATTATTAAATATTAACACATTCAACTGAAACATGTTAATCATTTTCAGCATCTGTGGGAAAGAAGCCATTTGGGATTGACAGATTTAACTTCTACCTGGCCAAAGAAATTATTTCTGCTTTTATATCTGAAAAATTTGTTTTAACCAAAATTATTATTAAAATTACTTCATTAAGAATTCTATAAGCAGGTACCTCCAAAAAAAAGTAAAAGAATCAGCATACTCTTCAAAGCAGCTTATAATTTATCCCAGTTTTAAACTTAGTATTAATTTAAATAGCAGTGAAATGAAATAGGATATTTGATTCCTTTGATCCACAGTGCAGTAGGAAAATATTCAGCCATTCTTTAGGATATTAAAAACCATGAATACAATGGCAAATAATAATTTTATGAAAATGGGAAACTTTACCATCTGTTTTGCTTTCTACCCAGGTACTTATCATCTCTGCACAAGCTTTCGCATCTTGAAAATCCACCAGTTTTATAGCACTCTGAAAAAATTCCTTGTTGCTATGGAGATACTGTTCTTTCACAGTGAATCCTTCTTGAAGGTAGAGGGCATTGGCAAGATTAAATGTAAATTCCTGTTTTTTTTCTGAGATGGCAGAGAAAAATGACTTCAGTTCGAAAAATTCTTCCCCTAGAAAATAATTTTAATGTATACTGGCATATTGAACAACATAAAAACAACAGCTTTTCAGCTTTGCTATCTAAGTGCTCTGATTCATATAGCCATTTTTTGTACCCTTAGGTATAACTAACAATCCCTTCAAAGTTAGTATAAATATTTTAAGAATGTATCTCCTGTAGAATATGCATTTTGTAGAGGAATTATCTTTTATATAGAAAAAAGAGTGTCCATGTAAATTTGAAATTTGTCAAAAACAAGAGTATGCATTTATAGAAGCCGAAGGAAAGTCCCTTTTGATAGTCACATTTAGCTCATTTTTAGTTGTTGAAATTTATGTTTAGAATCTTATTCTTTGCATAGCATGAGCATGTAATACCTCTGAAAAGGAAATGCTAATGAATGCTGATGGGGGTATGACAGTGAAGAGCAGCAATCCTTTTCAATATTACTTTTATTTCAGCTTAGGAAAAAAGTTGTTCTCCTATATGCAACTGCACTTGTCCAGGTTTTAAAATTTACAAGGCAACCTCTGTAATCATCTCTAGAGATGTGTAAGAATCAGAATTGCCTATTTCTACAAGTTCATGAATTTATACATTTTTGGCTATTGACATCAACAATAAAAATCTTTAACCATTTTAACTATAACCACTAGCCAAAATAAGTCAGTCAGAGTCAACTGAAAGAATCACTTCAGGCCTATTATTTATTTTTGGATTGTTGTGACTGAAATGTTGTCTGGAAGCTATATATGCCTATGAGAGACATCTCCCTTGATATTTGGTTTAGTAGCTTCCTATTCATTACCAAAGTGTACCGACAGTTTTCATTTTCTTCTGGCTTCATCTTATAACTCAATCATTAAGTCTTGTAACTCTATTTCAAATAGGTTCTTCCAGGGTCTTCATTATATTTTCAGTAAACATTGCAGATGCCACTTTCATAACATAAAAATTTATATATTCAATTAATCTTTATTCAAGAAAACCAGGTATTACTAAGAGAGATTTACTACTGAGTATCTACTAGATATAAGGAGGATGTGTGTGTGTGTGTGTGTATACCTATGCTTGTGTGTATATATACATATATATATATCAGAAAGCTAGTAGCCCCATAGAGCATCTCTGTGCAAATAAAAATAGTTCCCTCTCTAGGGGCTGGGCAGCTCCATGGCCTCTCATCTTGTCCAGCGGGGTAGAGGCTACATTTCGGTTGTTACTTGCCTTTTTTGGCCTGGTCTCACAATCTCACAGAAGGCTCTATGAAGTATATTGAATTATATTTCAAACTCCAGGATTCTCTGTTTATTAGAATATAGATACAGGTATAAACAATTTCAGATATTAAAATAACTTACTTCCATATGATTCTATCTGAAGAATTTTTGTAATTCTTTATAATCCTGGAATTCTTTACATAAGCAAGGAAGGAAAGTTGAACCATTTTACTTATTTATGCAATGATTTCAGATGTAATCATTTATTTCAGGCTATTTGAAGCCTCAAAGAAATATCTCAAGAGCTGGGAGGCTAAGGAAAAGGCTTTCCGAGTAAAGACATGAGAGCTTTTCCAAAAGAATTAATTAAGATCAGAAATGAAATGACAGAATCTGAAACTATCAGGAATTTGAAATATATGAACATCTTTAAAGGAATAAAAAAAAAAGAGAGAGAAGGGAAGAAAAAGTAGTTCCAAATCATTTGTCAAAGCAAATAGATTTATGTCATGTACTTAAGGTCTAAGTCTATGTGACAAACAGCTGCCCTTTGATAAATCGTTGAACTTAGAAGTCAATGAAAAAAATGTTACCAAGTAGTACAAGTTTGGAGAAGAATATAATATTATCTGCCTTCTATATTTTATTTGGTTTCTAGATTAATGACATTTGGAACACAGATCAAAAAGAAGATATGTGTGTGTGTGTGTGTATGTGTGTGTGTATGTAAAATAAAGCCATGGATAACCCACAGGTCATGAGTGAATGTGATTCTTGACTTGATTGTACCAGACCTCCAGAAAATGTTCTAAAATTCAGTGCATGTTATCTTCTGCTAGTGAAGGTCTAAAAGCCAATTCTGTGTGCATATGGTAGATCCAAAGATGAAAACAAAAGTAGTCCTAGAATTACAGATTGTTTCAGCCAAAAAAATCCAAATAAATTACCTAACCCCAACTTTTCTTTTTACAGTGAGGAATCTGAGGTCTAGAGAGATTAAGAAACTTCACAAGTGACGTGACTTGTGACAAATCATAAGGTCATTTAGCTGCAGAACTGGGACAAGAACTCATGCCCCTTTCCCTTTTCATAACCCTGTGAAAAAAAGAAGCACCTTCAATTTAGCCTTTAATTCTTCATCAGCATTATCAGAGGTAAAGCAAAAGGAAGTATTATCAGATGTTCAGCAAAATGGAGGAGGTAAATTCAGAGCAGATATTTGACAACGAAGTAAAGAAGAACTGAGGACACCGAGAGCCTTACATAATATAGAAGAATTAATATTCTTATTAATATATTAATGAAAATATATTGCTCTCATATTCTTAATCCTCATTGAATTATTTTAGGAATTAGCACTGAGCAAATGATTTAACCTTTCTTTGCCTCAATTTTCCCAGGTTTATTACAGGGTTGTTTACCTAACAAAGTAATTATAAATATAAAATGAGAGAATATATATTAAGCACATAAAACAGTAGCTGATATGCTATCTATATTTTTGATAGTATATTATTATTAATTTGATTATTATGTTCACAATTCACACTTGTTAAAACATCTGTGTTTCTCTATATGATGGATCCATTTAAAGTAATTTAGTTTTCAAAGACTCTGATTTATGTAGCTTCACAAATACTGTGTTACTTTTCAAAGCTATAGCATGTCATGTTTCTAGGAGTGGTCCAGCAGGGTTTGCTTAAATTAATCAAGATTAAATCTGGAATACATTGGCTTCAGTATGCATTATTTACAAAGGAAAATTCTTACAATTAACTTTATTATCACCAACTTCTTTTCTGTATAAAATTGTCTTTAAAATGAAGCAAATAAAATATTGTAAATAGTATTTTCAGGAAAGCAAATTTCTAAACACAGCTACTCTGTGATAAGAAAAATATGCTGAAATTATAGTTGTAGCAACTGAATTCCCAAATCAAAAATCTGTATTTAGAACACAGTATCTCAGAGTAATCCACAAGCTGAAAATTAAAACAACTACAGTGACTGAGAGCATGAGATGGCTAAGGAGATAAGCAACAACATTTTTCTTTTTTTGAGACGGAGTCTGTTCTGCTGCCCAGGCTGGAGTGCAGTGGCACAATCTCAGCTCACTGCAACCTCCGCCTCCTGGGTTCGAGCAATTCTCCTACCTCAGCCTCCCAAGTAGCTGGGACTATAGGCACATGCCGCCATGCCCTGCTAATATTTGTATTTTTAGTAGAGAGGAGGTTTTACCATGCTGTCCAGGCTGGTGTTGAACTCCTAACCTCAAGTGATCTACCCGTCTCAGCCTCCCAAAGTGCTGAGATTACAGGTGTGAGCCACCATTTCAGCTGAGCAACAATTCTTTCAAATGGGATGCCAGCACAAAAGCACAGTATCCCAGTAAGAGGGATACACACTATCCCAGATATACCATGGGGAGACTCCAACAAAACACCATCATTCACAAGCACAAAGGCCTTTGATGATTTAAATGCTTTTCCCCTCATTTTTCTTTTAAAACTAGTAACAAGTTCTCAAAATGAACAAATTAATGCTTTTTCTTGGTCTCATTGTAGATGAGAGTACATTGTTTTCATAAGAGAAATGTTGGAAACAACCTATTAAAGAAAGGCTAAATAAGTAATGGTATCTCTGTAAGAGGCAATAAGAGGGCAGGAAGTGGTGGCTCACGCCTCTAATCCCAGCTTTGGGATAACGATGCAGGTGAATCAACTGAGGTCAGGAGTTCGAGACCAGCCTGGCCAACATGGAGAAACCCCTGTCTCTACTAAAAATACAAAATTAGCCAGGCATGGTGGTGTGTGCCTGTAATCGCAGCTACTCAGGAGGCTGAGGCAGGAGAATTCCTTGAACTCAAGAGGCAGAGGTTGCAGTGAGCCGAGATCACGCCACTACACTCCAGCCTGGGCAACAGAGCAAAACTCCATCAAAAAAAAAAAAAGAGGTAATAAGATACAGTAATTAAAAATTGTATTTTGAATCAGTTGCATGACATGGGAAAATGATCACAACATAGTGATAGTGGAAGAATATGTAAGGGTATATATGTATATTTTATGTGTATGTATGTATACACACACACACACACACGCACATCCAATATAATCTCCAGTAGTTAAAACTGGCTAAAACAAACTAGAAGAAAATGCACAAATATATACTTAATTTTACATTTATATAAATGTCAATTTCTTAATAAATTATTTTTGTAACTTTTTTAAGGAAAGAATTATAAATGAATGAAAATTACATTTACAATTCTCCATTTTATTATAATTTTTTACTTTTCATTACATTTTTCACTTATTAAAGTTTTTTTATCCTGAACTTCTAATATTAAAAAATAAATTTTACCATATCTCATCCAGTATAGGTAAGGAGATATAAGTCTCTTACCAGCTGAGGTTTCCTGTTGTTTTAAAGTTTGTCTTATCTGCTGCTGTGCTTTTCCTTTGGCTCCCATTTGTACCATTTCAAGAATCAAAGTTATTCCAAGGGGTGAAAATATAATGTTGTTCTTATGAGATAAGGAAACCTCTTGATAAAGATCCACAGCAAATTCGGTATTTTTTTTAGCTGAGGGTCTTGAGGCTTGACTTCCAAAAAACAGCAATAGGAGACTCCACAAGATGATTGTGTCCATTTTGACTTCTCTGTATTGTTTAAATCGAAATGTATTCATTTTCAAAAGGGTTTTTCATAGAGGCCTCAACAGAAAACTTTCTACCTATTGTAGCTTTCTATCTTAATAGAACTTACTACCACGAGTGAACTCTATCCAATTTGATTTCTGACTAAGTATCATCTATTAGGAGAAATACTCCATGTGCTAATGGTATTTCTTAGGTACCTTCGAGAACCAGTAGAAAATATACTTGTAGTTTTGTAACAAAAATCATAAAAGAAACTACAGTATCAGAATGTTATCAATGGCAATGGTATCTCTACATAGCTATACTTTTTTTCTATCTTTTCTCATGGTTTTTAAGTGGGATTAAGTGTAACTCTGACATCAAGTAAAGCTTCTGAGCAGATTACTCTAAAGTAATTTATAGATCAAGAGGAGAAACTGAATAAAAACAGACTTACTCCAGTATGGTTTTGGACCTGTAATATTAGAAAATTAATGTATTCTAAAGTAACTGAGTAATCTGGCTAACTTTTTACAACAATTTTCCTCACGCTTTATTTCTTAGGACAAAATAACTCCAAACCCTCCTCCTACTTTTCCAAAGGAAGAAAAATGCAATGCAGAAAACCTGCAAAGTCTGAAACAAAACGACAATCAAATATAAATGATACCATTAAGTACTATGCTCACTACCTGGCTGATGAGATCATTTATACCTCAATCCTTAGTGTCAGGCCATATACCCATGTAAGAAACCCATGCATGCACCTTTTAATCTGTAATAAAAGTTGATATTATAAAATAAAAAATATAAGTGAAATAAAATATTAAAGAATAAATTGACAAAAATAAATTGAGTAGCAGCAATTGAAAACCATAAACAATTCACAAGATTAATACCCTATTAAAGTGCTCCCCACTAAAATTGCAGGAAATTCAACCTTTTCACTATATCTCAAGCATAATTAGTTTTGCAGTATTACCACATACTTGGTAGAATGCTGACTCCAAGGCCTCATAAATTTTAGTAATAATAGTTTTATGTTATAAATAATACATGTTAGTAACCCTTAAAAACTTATCCATTAACAAGTTATGAGGAAGTAACCCTTACTCGGGATAAAGATGAAAGCCTTCAGAATAGTGCGTTGTCAGCCTTCAGTGGAGAGTTACATTTCTAGACTGTTTTTCAGTTTAATAAGGGGGCCACCATGACCCATAAATGGTTAGGAGTCACTAACAACCACATTTATATATCAAGATTACTAATAGTCAAATATTCTATTAACTATGGAGTCATTATTTAGATATTTCAAATTCTCTTTCAATGTATGTTGTTAAACTGTATTTGTTTAGACACTCATTTGTGGAATATAAAAACCTCAAAAAACAATCCAAAGCAATTGTTAGAAAATGTGTCGGTAAACTTCAGATATAGACGTATGTTATTAATATCAAGAAAATGTTTCATTAGGGGTTAATTTAGCCTATGAGGTTGTAAATGAGAGTGAAACAATAGTAAAAGCTAGTGAGTAAAAGTTTTACATGCAAATAAATGTTTATCTATCATTATATTCTAATGCATTCAACTTCTCAGAAGACTTTCGACCAAAATATGTGTTTGTAGAAATGTAAGTAGTCACAATGTTATTAGTACTTTTAAGTTATCAAATGACAATACAGTAGATATGGCTTTATGTACTTGGTTTATATTAAACAGTATTACTAAAAAATGGAATTTTTCCTTTGTGGTAGAATATCAGCATTAGAGGTTCTTTCTCATTATTATTAATTATCCTAATAATTAAATTTATATTCTTTGAGCATCCATTTTTTTTCCAGAAAATTTCTAAGCACTTAATAAATTATAACCTCAGTGGTTTTAAAAATTCACTTACCTCATTGGATTTTGAATTTTATCTTATCAGAAAGCACAAAGTACTGCAGAACTAAACAACCTGACCAATAGTCCTATAAGAACTGGATCTTCTGATGTACAGTGAAATCATTTGAGGAGAATAAAAGTGATATGTTAATTTAATAATTTCAAATGATTTTTATACCAAAGTAAATTGAAATGCCTTTCCTTACTTTGCTAAACACTCATAGGCAATGTTATTGCATATATACTTTATTCAAAAGCTATTTATTTCTAAGGTACTTACCCAAAATTGGCCTCTGATTATTCACTGGAGTGTTACAACTAAAATATGCTTGCTGGAAAACCCTGGTACATGAACACCTGAGCTATCAAGGCCAACCCTCTTTATCTTGAACATTCCTTGATTAATTCCTCTAGAACCAAAGCAGGTGTTCACTACATTTGTATTAAAGAACTAACATGATCAGGTTAATAATCAACTGATGAAATATGTAAAAATTAAGAAAACAGCAATAGAATTTTTTTAAATTAATATGTTTATATTATTATTTTATCCATTATTTTACTTCTTTTAAAAGTTGCACAGAATTTGAAAAGATGTGCCAGTGGTTGTAAATTTCCTAGTAATTAGTTCTTTTTATTTCTCACAGGACTCCCACATCAGATTACCAATGTACTTCATCATAAATATTTCAGAATGCCTATGAGAAAAAGAATAAAGCTAAATCAAGTCCAGAATGCAGAGACAAATTACTGGCGCATTTACAGAGCTCTCAACATTCATCAGATTGTACAATAGTCAGAGGAGTTTCCTGTGGATATAAAGTCCATTTGAATCCTTAAGGAAAAGAGTGGATATTGAAGAAATATGTTCTTTAATTTGAGCAGAACGGCCAGCAAAAAGGATAACGAATTTGCCAAAATATCTCAGGATAATACTATTAGCCACAGGTAATTTGATGATAAAAATTGGTGTTAACCTTTGTGTGCTTTTAACACTACATGATTTTCTTTGCAAAAGGGTAATTAATAAAAGACTGCACAATTTAATAGGTTTCATCTCATTTTTGTAGTTGAAATCAATCACCTCAATAGCAATCAGATATTAAGTACATTGTATTATTTAGCCATAGCCTTTAAGAAGAGAAACAAACAAAAAAAATTCAGTCCATTTGTAATTAAAAATCTGTTGATTCCCAAAATTAATACTATTCCTGATAAGCTCATGTAAAAGGAGTGTATAGAGAGATTTAAATAGAATTCATTTTTTAAAACTTACCTGAGAACCCTGTTAACATCTTTCAGTGTCCTAATATGGCTATAACTTAAAAATAGGTCTGATGATAGATCATTATAGGCTGTAATCTACTTATTAACTAAAATTTTTGATTTCCCATATAGGCATCTTCAAATGTTTTCTAGACCTTGGGTTTTATTCTAATATTACCTACTCTAATATAAGGAAACTCTAGTCTAGCAAGATAATTTTCAATAAAAAGAGTTGTACAATACAAGAATACTATCATTCTACTTGCTTCACATTGCAATACATAAATATTAAGTCTGAATGTCCAAGACTGTCATTTAATCAATGCTTTTCTATTCATTTACTGACACTAGCAAACATCTATCACCAGTATCCTTGGCTACCACATTATTATGTCTGTACACTGCTCAGATCACAATGTGATTTATCCAGCAATAGGCCATTACTTTTCCTACCAATGGCAGAGACAATCACTCTGTCCTACTAAGACCATTTAGTGAAATTGTCCTGTAAGGACCTTATGTTAGAGCAGTTCAGGCAGAATGCTCATTTTCCTGTCTCTTGAGGAGTTAAAAGCAACAGCCATAAATTTATTCTCCCTAGTTTAAACTCTTTTAATAGACAATGAAGATAATACAATTTTCCATAAAATATTACTGTAAATGTTTAAAACATTTTCCCTAACTGGTTCTACTTTTGTTCCTACACAATCAGTGGGGTGGGGTGGGGGGGGGAAGGATTATTCATTAATGAGAGCCAAAGTGTCTTGGTATAAGGTTGATTGCCATTACTATCCCACCGTGAAGTATAAACCTGGGAATATATATATAAGCCATGGCAAGCAGTTACGGTTATCTCATCATTTTATAGCTTTTTCAAGTAAAAATGCACTTAACTCCAACCTTTAAAATCATATAAGCAAATGCCTTAACCAGCAAATACCTTAAAAGTTATTTCTTCCATTTAAGCATGGACTCATTTCAGGCAGTTTTTATTTGTAAAGATTGTTCCTAAATTTTGAGTGATGATAGAAAAATGTTCTGACAAAAGAAAAGGTTAAATTATATTTAGTGTATATGTAAGTAACACAAACAACGTAGCCTATTGAAAATTATGACACATCTTTTTTAATATGAAAAATTCCTTTTGCCATAGGAAAAATGGATCGTAAGTAATTGAATCTAAATGTTAATTTGAGAAACAGTTTATAATGACTTTAGTTCTGTTCACAGTTGATAGGTGAGATCCTGCTACCTGCTAGAAAATTAGATGCTGCAAATTACAAAAGAAGAGTAAGACATAGAAAAAAAAGACATTGTCTTTTTTCTTCTTTTTGTGTTTGTTCTCCAAGTTATTAGAAACGGTAACATTAAAAGAAACTCTCATACCTTTAGAAGTTCTCTTCTCATTGAATTTATTTATGAGACAGCACTTCTTAATTCCTTTTACAGAAGAAGCCCTGATGTTAATTAAGGGCGGAATTAGAGTTACTCACAGCATAATACCATGCACAGGTGGGAGTCTATAGAGAGAAATTCTGTCTATATGAATCAGACTCTCTCAGGCTATCACATCAAACAAAGTTATCTTCAAGGGCAAAATGTAAAATATGTCTGGCAAAAGAATTTCCAAATTATGCCAAAAAATATGAATTTCCAACTTATGCCAGCAGGGTCATTTAATATTGGCTTAATAAACCAGTACATTTTATATGGCTTCACTTCATAAAGCTGAGAGTAGAAAAAGTGCATTCTATTTATTTATATGTTAATATCTGGTATCTAAAATAGTCTCTTGTACATATCTTCAATAATTGCATGAGGGAAGGATGGATGGATCAATGGGGAAAAGAGCCTTTGAAAATTATTTGGTACCCACATTCTACTTCTATAACATCTTAACAATCTGTTAAATTTCTGGGAATGTGGCTCAGATTTCACTCCACTGTACTACCACCAACCTATGATTCATAAATCATATGCTCTGAGTTTGAAATGATGGATTATCCAATCAAACCTCCTACCCAGTATAAGAAGTCTTTGCAATATGCCTGTGAAACAGTTGCCCAGTGTCTGCTTGCACATCTCAAATAATCTTTTTGTACAAAGGCAACTTTTCATATTTAGAAAAAATAATTTACCTTTAATTACTTTCAAATTTACATAAATTACAGCTATAGTACAAAAAACTACTATCTTGACCTCCTCCTGTCTCCCCAGTTGTTAGCATCCACCACATTTGTGTGTTTCATCTATATATATATATATATATATATATCCTCTCCATAAACAGATGTAAATATAGATATGTACATGTGTTACCTGTGTGTGTATATATACACATTTTATACATATAATAATTAGTATTTTCTGAATCATTTTATAGCAAGCTGAATGCATTTCTATCATAAGTATTCTATTATTATATTTTTCTAAAACAAGGACACTCTCTTACATCATCACACCACCCAGCAGACAAACACACACGTCCACACACACAGGGAAATACACTTTTCTCCTACAGTCTTTCCCATATGTGATTGTCATTGCATGAGGAGGAAAGGAAATATGAATAGAAGTCATGATGCCTGACTCAGAATGTACTTAAATGTAGTTAGAACAGGCAGCTGTCTTCTGAAAACCTTTCTGTCACCACCATCTCCACCGAAGCAAAATATTTGCTCCACTGGTGCTGGAAAGTCTATCGTTAGAATTCATTTCATTGACTTTATACTATTACGAAGCAAGTGAACAGAATGATGAATAGCAAATACCATGGTTTTGAAGTAAAACAGACCTGGGGTCCAGTCTCAACTCTGCCGTTGATAATTAAGCACCCTCCGAATGGATTCACATCAAATATTTTAGCTCTAAGCTTATATACTTCATATGATTATTGCATGGTTTAAACACAATGGACATTTGCAGTTGCGATACCAAGTGGTCCCCTACATATTGTGAATTATTTTCCTTTACTACGTGCTGTTGAAAAATTCTTAAACTACAGCTAGTTTTAAATGGACTCTTTAAAACATAAATATATAGTAAGTCCTTACAGTAATGTAAACAAATTTACCAATTCTTTCTATAGAACATAATAAAAAAAGTAGAATAATAATATTTGTTGCCTGGAGCATGATTATATTTGTAAATAAAAATGGGTTAACAAAAAGAGGCTGTAAGTTGCAGAACCCATATTTCCCACTTGACTTTTCACATAGAGTGGGTCCTCTTTATAGCCCCAGGCCCATTTATTTTTTTTCAAGACTGTTTCCTCTTTGATGTGCTATGGTATTCAATTTTAAAATACAGTATAAGAAAGTATTGAAGTAGATCATATGCAGTAATTTCCCAATAAGCTTATAGAATGAACAAAAGCCAATAAGAATTCATAGGAAGTGGTGCTACTGACAAGGTCTAATTGCCATTATGAGGATCATTAAAAAAATACTAGAAAGTGTAAAAATGTAGAAACAGTTTTCTTATTCACATTTGTAGACATTTACTGCGTCAGTACTTTCATATATTCCAATGCAGGTTTTACGATAAAAATTGACCAAAAATGTCTATAGAAACAACCAGAAGAACAACTGGTTAGAACTTTGTTCTGGAATCGTAAAGTTTTTATA